CCCCCCCCCACCCATTATCCTGGTCTGCCAGGGTGCAAATTCCCTCGCGGCCTCTGGCACCCGGGATCCACCCGAAGCTGCAGGAGCCCCGCGCAGGGGCCCTGCTCGGGAGACCGGACGTGACTCCATAACACTGCTGACGTAGTAACTGCTGTAGTGACCTCAGCACTGACACAGGAGATTTACTCGTTCCAGTAAAAATCCCAAATTATGGCCTCGAACACACATTCAGCTCCCAAATTACAGCCTTTGGAGCTTAAGCAAACAGAATGGTCTGGAGGCAGGTCCAGGCGGAGCACAAGTGTCATCAAAGCATGTCCCATAAACTCCTATGTGCTGCTATTAAATGACTGGACGGGAAATTGCCTGTTTATCTAGGTTACCTGAGCACGCCATTTCCTGTCCGATTCAGCTGCCCAGACATAGGCATCTGCTGCCAGTTCAGGCACCCTCGAGACGCAGATTGCTAATCAAATCAGTGACAATCAAGCTGTGTGGGGAAGACCGAAGTCAAAGCCGGTCCTGGTACCTGCCCGGCAGCTCTGCAGCCGTGGCCGGCTCTGCCGATCGCCCCGGAGCTCCATGTGGCTGCGGGATCTGCCTGCGTGGAGCCGTTTCTGGGATTAGTGTGGAAATGAGGCCATGGTGTAACGGGAGGCGCTGCTCACAGCACGACTTCTGCTAGGGACGAAAACCGCAGGAAATCTTTCCTGTCCTTTCAGTCCTCCCTTTTGGATATCTTACTGAAAAGGCCGTGTCCCCCCACTGCTGGCTCCTCTCGTTGCCAAAAGGCCTTCCCAATGGGTGCCGCGCGGCGGGCCGGCGTAGGGAGCTGCTGGGGAGCTGCGGCCGCGGGGACAGCGCTCACACCCCCACGGCCGTTCTTTCCTTCACTTCTCCACCCAGGCACTGAACTTCATGTGACCCCTCCCAACTGTTCTGGTTTGTTTAATCAGCAATTAAACGGGAGCCTCACTTCATTTCCAAACATACTCATCAGTCCCCGAATTCCCCTTTTTACAGAGCCAAGGCAGGAGGAAATGACAACCTTAAAATAGCCGGGCACAACTTTGCTATGGAGACCTCGTACAGCCTCTTCATTAGATGTGATGACTTTGCAGCTGAACGGCAGAAATTCTAAGTCCTACGGAAAATGGTTACTCCAGAGAGCCAGGAGATGTGACATAATGTTTCTGTATGACCCCAATGCTCCTTCCAACAGCAAGTTTGTCATCTCAGTCGACAAGCCAAACCCCAGCTTCACAAGTGATGTTCAAAAGAGTGCAAAGGACCCTGGAAGTGCAGAGTTCATTGCCCTAGAATGATTCCACGAGCTTGTTCCTGAGTGGAAATAGCGGACATACTCCATTACTATGTAATTTTATTTAGTGTTGCATCTTTATTTGTATTCATTAGTATTTAGTTTTGGCTGCAGTTTTATAGCCTAGGGATTCTGTGTCTTGAGGCCCTTCTCCAACCCATTCTGCCAGTCTCAATATCCAGACTAATTCTGTATCATCCACAAATATTGCTACCTCAGTGTTTACCTGTTTTTCAGATCACTTGGGACTACATTCAGGTCTCAGCACAGATGCTGCCTTATTTTAGCTTTACAGAGTGGTGGCTTATAAAGCAAAATCTGCTATTGCTCTATGAGGAAAGAATGCCGGCCTCCCTCCAGCACAGCTGGCGTGGTTCAGAGTGGCGCTGACCATGCAGCGTGCAACATCTCCCAGTGTGTTCCAACGCCGTTTTTGTGTGCAGGTAACCTTACCCACCGGTGCTCACTGCGAGTTTTTTTCACTTGGGGACACTCACAGTTGCCTCTTTATCCTGAATTACAGAATTCATTCTCACTCAGCCCTCTCAGGGACTGAGGAAGATACTGGATCTGTCTGATGAACAGTTATGGTTTTCTTCCCTTTTGTGCACACTGCAGTTTATTGCAGAGGGTGAATAGATGCCTTGCAGGATGTGAGCTCTCTGCGGGACAAAGGCAGAGCTGCCCCGTGTCCTGGCAGCTCACAGCTCTTCCTGGCATCCATGGTTGCAGCTCTTGCTTTCAGAGCTTGTAAATCCATGTTCCCATCCCAGAGGCTCCAATAAGCAGTTCTGTAACAAGCGAGTACTTCCTAGTGACTGATACTGTGATTTGTTTTGGGAGCTTCCTAATTAGCAATCATTAGGTGACACTTGCAATTACTAGAAGTCCAGGAAGCATCACCCCTTTTTACAATGGGCCAAGGCAGGAATAGGAGTCCGAAATGGCTCCTGAGTCACCACTGTCAGACTGGGGCTAAAGTCCCGTGTCCTAGCCCTGTATTTTAGGCATTATATTCCCCTTCTTAGTGAGACAGTCAAGTAAAGACATAAGTGCCCTTGGGAAGAAGAATTCAAACCAGAGAAAGAGAGATAACAAAGGTACGATCAGGTGGTGCATCACCTCAGTGGCAGAGCCACTTTCTTCCACAGAGGACACCCTTGCCTTCCCCTTGACCTCCTCTCCTTGCACGGCGATGACAAGCAGCACTTTCTAGCTGCCAGTGACAGCTGCTGCACTCGGGGGCTTAATCTGCAGGAGAACATGGTACCCTCCAGGACAAGCCACGAGCCCACGGGGCAGCCGCGGCTGCAGCCAGGGAGGACGGGCAGGGCGGGAGGAGGCTCCGAACATCCCTCTGGGGAGGATGGTTGATTACAGCTCTTCTCCAGCCACCACCAAGCTCTTCCTTTCCTACCGTGTTCGTCCACCTTCCTGGGTGTGAGCCCAGCACACTGCAGGACAGGAGATTAACTGGTTAATGCCGTGGTTTTATCCATCTCCTTTTGGAGCTTAGCAGTTGCTGTGGGGCCTTTTGGAGTTAATTGCCTGCTGGAAGCACAATCCCAGAGCAGTTCCTGTGCAGGCCAAGTGCCTCCCGCGGGCAGCAGCAGGGGCTCAGGTGCCTGTTGCTGAAGGAGACGCTTGTGCTGGGGTTAAACATTAACGTCCTGTGCAGCTCCCATCTGTTCAAGGTTCAGGAGGGGGCCCGTGCTGAGTCAGCCGGGCCGCTGCGTTTCCTGCTCCCTCTCCTCCCTTGGCGGGATTCACTCGCTCCCCCTTTCTGTCAGGACATCCTAGTCCCGCATGGCACAGTAAGAGGTAGAGGGAAACTTGAGCTGCCTGGCAGCAACTCCCTGGCGACCAGCTTGGGTAACCTGGCTCCCTGGCACCCTCCGTGGTGGCCCGTGAGCAGTCTTGGTGCAGCAGGAGAGGGGAGCTCGCAGGGACCAGAGGTGCAGACTGAGCTGCAAGCGACTCTGCAGCCGCTGCCCACGCACGTGCGCCACGCACTGACCTGCAGCCTCCCCACGCCGCACATCGCTGGCCGAGCGCTGCCCGGCAGCTTGTCTCGCTGTCCCCTTCTGGGCAGCTCTGTCCGTGCACTTCAAACGCAGATGTAAACCCCTGTAACTGCGGGGCTTCCAAAAGCGCGCTCACCCGAAGCAGCAGGAGTGGGGCGGGAGGGGAGCAGGGCTCTTCCCTTTGGGCCTGTGGCCACGATTGGCACGCCGGCACTGCCGAGTCTCTGGCCGTGCGTCCTGTGTCCCTGCGCTCCTGATCTGGGAAGGGAGCACTCAGCGCTGCTCGCTGCCCTGTGCTGCACTGAGTGCCTGCGGCTGCTGCCTGGTGCCTCCGGGGCACCTACCCGCATGCTGGAACTCGCCTGGCCTGGAAAGCAACTGTTCGCTGCAGCATCCATGGAAGCTGGTGAGGATGCAGTGGCCTCCGCTGCACCGCACCCAGCAGCGCAGCCGAGAGCCTCGCTGGCTTTGGTGACACTTTGCTGTGACTACGGGGCTCCTGCGATAGCCCTGCTGATCCCTCCAGCAGCGCCTTCTTGCCTTGGGCCTCTTCTACCGGATAACAGCACATTTTAGAGTGCAGAACACAGTCTCCTTGCGAGGGTTACTGACATCAGAAGTGACATCAAGGGTTGCCGATGAAACCAGTGTTTTACTCTTCTGCCTCTACTTCTGCTCCTACTTCCCCCAGGCTCCTGCGGGGCCAGCGGGTTCTAAACACACGTGGCTTCTCCCTTGGCACCCAGACGTGCCCTTGTCTCCTTAGGACAGCGCCATGTATATCTAGTCCTCAAACGCTTTTTGTTCCCAGAGTCAAGTGAGTTAGGAGGGAATGCAGGTCTAAGCTGGACTGCGCCCCTTGGAGACGTGCAGACAGAAATGTATGAGAAATACATGCTCTGAAATGACTTGAGAAGAGCCCTAGAGAGGGCAGAGAGCTGGCAGAAGTGTCAGTTGGAGCTGCCTCCTGCGCAGAGCGCAGCCTGGCTCCCCGGGGCCACCGTCTCCTGTGGGGCCCTGGAAGGCAGCACCCTGCCTGGCAGGCACAGCACCAGCCACCCTGCCCCGGGCCCAGTCCTCCAGAGATGAAAGCAAAGGCTTTGGTGTCCAGATGAATGTCACAGCTTTCAAGGAGAATTAAAACCAGATGTTTCCCACAGGCCTGTGGCCACCAGCCTTTTCTGGCACATTGACAGAGCTGCAAGGAGAGCCGGTCAGTGTCCGCACCCGTCGGTGCAGGGAACACCCTGCGCTCCCAGCGGCGCCGGCTGCCCAGGAGGACCCCACACGTGGAGCGGGGCGCAGATAGAGCTGCCAGCTCAGTATTTATTCAGTGTTTGTCAATATTTACTCCTCACTGATAATGGTGCTGACAGCAGGGGTGTAATTACCAGGCAAAATTTAGCACCTTTTGCCTCTGAACAAAGCAGTGGGGCCAAAAGGCAACTTAGCTGCGTTGGCACCACCTGGGGTTTAGCCTAACAGGCGAGCGGAGACTTTGCCTTCACGGGGCTCCATATATCCTCACTTGAGGTCTGTATTTACCTGTGTGGTTGAAGCCAAGGGCCATTGCAGGTAGAGCAGATGTAAAATATTAGGAAAAGGGAAACTGAATCCTTGCTGCAGTGCAAGTCTGGGAAAGATCAACATTTCCCACTTGGCTAGGGAGTAGCCCGGCCCTCGGGAGCTCTGGGCGGGTGGTTCCAGCTCACACCCAGCAGTCATTAATCTTGCTGCTCTCCGGGCCTGCTCACTACAATAGGTATTGCTCTTTTGCATTTTTCGGTCTGCCCGGTGGTTATAGCAGTCAACTTTTTTCCTCTGAAGGACAAATTCCTGCTTCTGTGCCCTCAGCGCCGCTTTGAGGTGCAGTTTCCTCTTGCGAAATCAGCAGGTGCTGAAAATTTCCCGTTGGCTTTGCTGCCTGGGAAAGGCTTTGCCGAGCGTTTCAGATGGACGTGTTGTTGTGCTCCTCGAATCCCTCCTGTCCCGAGCGCTGAGATGCTCCTGTGCTGCGGCAGCAGGTTGGATGCCTGAGGTCCTAGGTGCTGCTGGATCACCAGCTCCTGCTGGGGAATGTGGCACATTCAGAAAGGGCACCCCAAAGCGAGCAGAAGGAAATACCACAGAATACAGTTAGGTGGCAAGAAATCCCAATTTTAACTTTTTAACTACTAGTGCCCACTCTGATAATCAGATCTTTGATGTACAATAAAATAATAATAAAATCTGTAGCTTGACAACTGCTGCTCCGTATTCCGTATCTGCATCATGCTCATCATGGGTAGAAGATGCGGTTGTTCCTGCTGTGGCTCCAGAAGCAGCTGTCAGGAGAAGGCCCTCGGGAGCAGAGGAGCAGCTGGATGGAGCTCTGGGCAGGCCGCCTGCCTCCCCACCCTCCCCTGGTTAACACGAGCTGGTGACTAACAGGAAAGGCACCAGCACCACGGGATCGACACCCAAATGTTGGTATTTGCCTCTAGGGACGTACGACACCTTACCTGATTAGAGCCTGCTTCGTACCTTGGGCTGCATTGTTTGTGCCCTGAGATGACAAAGTTCCTGTTACAAACCAGGAACTACTTACTAGCTCTACAGACCCCCTCTGCACTTAAAGCCAATGCGGTTGCAGTCTAGGAGCTGCCAAAACTGCAGCTATCCCGACTGGCGCCGGCCACGCCAAGCGCTTTGCTGATGGGCATTTCGCTCACATGGGGCGATCCTGCAGCACCAGCTTCAGGAAAACGATCCAGTCTGAGCACTAACAATCTGCAGCACGTCAGGGCCTGGTTCCAAAGGCCCTGAGCTCCTGTGGCATATCCAGGGATTCAGCATAGCTGGAAGAGAGGCTCCTAGCTGCTTAGCACAACCATTTTTCCATGGGTTTGATATCTCAGTATAAGGCAATGGGCACTAAAAATTAATGAGCAGATTCTGGAGGTAAAGAGCTCTGTAAAACATGGATAATTCTTAACTGCTTCACAGGGGGCACAAGGATTAATGAGTTAATGTTTGCAAAGTGCTTTAAAGATGAAAAGTGCTAAGTCTTTCATCTGGTGGATGAAATAATGAGGAACAGGTCTAAACTCCATAGCGCAGGTGCCAGAAACAAGGTCTGTTTATAAAGTCCTAATACATCAGGTTCTGAGCTACCGCTCTCAGCGACCCCATTCATTTTGCTCCAGGTTCTTTATTCCTTCACACTAATTTGCTTTTCTTTCTGCACGCCTAGGAGATACTGCTCAGTGAAGTTCCTGCAGAACCTGCAAGCTGGACCATCAATTCACAGCAGAGCTTGGGGGGCAGCTTCCCATCTCTTGGATGGACCGTGAGTTCTGCGCTGGCAGCTACCTCAGCCCCCCATTTGCTGGACCATAATTGCCGGTAATCACAGAATCACAGAATGCTGAAGGTTGGAAGGGACCTCTAGAGGTCACCTAGTCCAACCCCCGCACACGCAGGGTCAGATGGAGCACGTGGCACAGGGCTGCATCCAAGCGGGTTTGAAGATCTCCGGAGAAGGAGACTCCACACTCCCCCTGGGCAGCCTGTTCCCGGGCTCTGGCACCCTCACTGTCAAGAAATTTTTCCTTAAGTTCCTGTGGAACTTTTGGTGCTTCAGTTTCTGGGTGTTTCTTCTAGTTCTGCCGGTGGCCACCAGTGTAAAGAGGCCAGCACCATCCTCCTCACTGCCTCCCTTGAGGTACTTCTAGACACTGCTCAGGTCCCCTCTCAGCTTTCTCTGCTCCAGGCTGAACAGGCCCAGCTCCCTCAGCCCCTCCTCATAGGGCAGATGCTCCAGGCCCCTGATCATCCCTGTAGCCCAGCGGGGTCAGGGTTCCCTTGTTGGGCGAGCAGTAGGTGACAGTGTCCTGCCAGGTGAGACGTGGTCCCTTGTCCCGCTTGGTGGCTCTGCGTTAATGCTAAGCGTGCCGTGCCAGGCGTTCACGATTCCGCTTCCCGCAGGCTCCATGGAGTTGCCCTGTGCGCATGAACAGTTTTTTTTAGGACGTTTAGCCGAAAAGCTATGGCGGGACATGGGGGGGGGTTTATGCCGTTTCTCTGCTGGAACCGCCCGCAGCTCCCCGCCGCGGCCCCGAGCCCAC